TAGTGTATATATATATATATATATATATATATATATATATATATATATATATATATATATATATATATATATATATAAATATTTCAAATATAATATATTATATTTATATATATATATGAAATTGAAAAAATAGAATTATTTATATGCATAATAATTGTTATATAATAATTCATAGTAATAGTTGTGTAATGTGTAACATGAGTACTGTACTGTAAAACGTTAATGTACAATTTTTACAGTCATGAACACTATTTTACTTCAATTTTCCCTCTGCACTTCCTTCCAGTGTAATTTGTATATTTAATTTATTCCCTATTTTCCTACCTTAGTGTTTAGGTTACCCATATAACATGTTAATGTAATTAATTACAATAGCAATGACAATAATTATGCCAAATTTCTAGCAGCTACTGAACATAATTACATATCGCATACGTGTTGTTCACAAATAATCACACTACAGCATAACATTTTTCCTTTGTTTTCACACAACGTCTACTTTGTGTATTTAATGTTTTAATTTTGGCCTAATTTATGCCTTCATAAACAAGTCTGGAATTATATACAGTAGCCAAGTGTATATACGGCACACAACACTTATACCTATAACATGTTGCTATAGTAGGCCAACAATAATAATATTTAAGCAGCTGCTGAACATACACTAGTTGTTCATTAATTATCAGTATTTATACACTACACTATAACATGAACAACTCTAATAGCCTATGTTTTCTTTATTTTCACTTTGTGTATTTAAGGCTTGAATTCTTGGCTCAGTGCCTTTATAAACATGTCTTAATACATATACACAATTTAACATGCTTATTGATCACAGCAACAATAACGCTTCATTTCTCAGCAACTAAAAATAAGTACTTTTTCAGCTACTAAAACTTAAAAACATTTTAAGTTTTGTGCAATTTTGAAGCATGTACCAGCTTATGCATATAGACATGTTAATGTAAGTAATTACCACGGCAATGGCAATTATATCTCGTTTCTGGCAGCTACTGAGAATAATTACACATGGCTTGCACGTTATTCATTATTACTCTGCACTGTGTCATTACACCGAAGCGCTCAGCTCGCAGCATCTCTGGAAACTCCAGCCTGAAGCGGCAGAGACAGTATGAGGCTGCTCTTGTGGGCTGTCTCGTGTTTTCTCCGGCCTCTGTCTCTTTAATAAACTCGTGGTTATCTAGTGTAACAAATGTCTCGCTGCCATCATCAAGTCCAGAGGAGGAGGAGGAGGAGTTTTTAATGTTCAGTTTGTTCTATGGATCGATGTTTGCTTCTGGCTTCGCGGTGTGTGTGTGTGTGTGTGTGTGTGTGTGTGAGAGTGTGTGAGTGTGTGATATACACTATTTTTGTCTGTCCTTTTCCTACTACGTTTCATACGAGACCGGGAGTCTAAGCGATTGACAGCGTTCGTCCTTTTGGCTTGGGAAACAAAAAAAGAAAAGAAGAAGAGAAGACGGAAAGAAATGCAAAGCAAAGCAAAACAATCCGCCATAGATCTGTCTATCTAGGAAGGAGAGGTATATTAAAAAAAGAGACACCTGATTTCTGGACAGCGCATCTGAAATACTGGATTGTACGGAACTGAAGTACATTAGAGAGTCGCTATTGCGTGTGTATCAGAGCACTTAAACTGCATTTCACCTGGGCTCAATTTCACTGTACGTGAACTAAAGAGAGTTGAACATGCCAAGGAGGAAACAGCAGGCACCCAAAAGGGCTGCGGGTAAGATTCAACCTGACACATCATTTCACATTTATCCCGACATGAATATTGCTATTCATACGCGTTTTAAGCTCACGAGCGTGCGGATTTGTATCTGAATGAGCCTCTTTTTATCTTGTGAAATAGTATGATGAAAGTGATAGCGCTGTCTTAGAAAGAGGATGTGTTTAATATCGGAGAATGACGCTTTGATACACTGCGCTTCGGTTCCCGACAAAATCCGGCGAAAGTTTTTAAACTCCACTGTTTCACGTTTAAATGAACGTCAACACGCTTGTTTAGAACGTAAACAACGTTCGTTTTACCTCCTCGAATGAACCGCGTGCTTGAAAATCGTAACGTTTTAGCATTGCAAACGGACCGAGTAGTGAACCTTGTGTTACCCCTATGCTGCGAAAAAAAAAGAATGCTCTTAATCAAAATTTCTGCCATGTTTTCCAGTAAAAAGATGTAAATATTCACAGTTTACGTCACAATTTCAGATTGTCTTTTAAAACAAGTATTAATACCATTTGCCTTTCTGCTTTTCAAGTAATTTGTCTTGTTTTAAAGATCTTTGTGTATGTATGAGAATATAATGGAAGTGAATTATCTGTTAGGCAAGGCTCGCCTCTTGGCCTATTTGTAATGTTAATGTACAGCTGTTGTCAGTGGCTGTTGTTCATATAATGAAGAAAAACGAACCATATTTTCATTTTAAAGTAGTGTGATTATATTTATTTACACGTTAAATAGTTTTGGAGTTAAAAAGTT